TAATTAAGATTGAAATTAATCGTTGGCACCTTCATCAGCCCGTGACTCGTATGGCCTTTACGGATTGTGTTATTATTATTTTTATTTTAAGAATTTTGAGTCTACAGAAATTGTATTGATAAATGTGTATGATAAAAATGTAAATAAAAACGTTTGTAAATATATAATATGAAAATGCTGTTATAAAAGCCTCGTAAAATAATAAAAATACATAATAAAAGTAAAATAATTATAAATAGATACATTGATCAATAAATTAATAAGTAAAATAGTAATATAGAAGATTAAATGATTACGAATAAGAAATAGAAAAACATTATTCATAAGAAATTATTAAACATTATCTTACTAATGCAACATTACTAACATGCTAACATTATCATAACAACATTACTAACATGCTAAAAATAAGAAATAGAAAAACATTATTCATAAGAAATTATTAAACATTATCTTACTAATGCGCGCGTTTCTGGTTCAAATTTACTCCAATCTCTTTTACAACAAAGGTTTTTGCGGAATTGTTGCAGGCATTATAGTGAGTTTTATCTATATTTAATAAAGTTTAGTAAATATTTAGTAAAATTTAATGAAAACTTGCAGCAGTTTTAAGTGTTGTCAGCGTCATTTTATGTATCAGGATTTATAATAAATGTAATTGCATAATTTAACGAAATAATTTAACATACATGTAATTACAATACTTACAGATGACATTTTCCATCTTTTCAATGCTCCTTTTAATTGAATTTTTTCAATATTATTCTAAATCGCTAGTGATCACTGGTGATTGACAGTACGAAAAATTTCCGTTTCCGAAAAATATGTCTCATGGGAAGCCAGGCTACTTAAAATCGGAACGGAACGATACTGGTTGATTGCCCCTATCACTTCACCTTTCCGATTTCGTTTTCCGTGCTCTTGGGACAACCTTAAGGAATAAAGGTTTCAATCTATCAGATATCGGAAACACCGGAATACACGGTTTCTGATAGATTGAAATCTTTATTCCTTATTCCTATGTATGTAATACTCCTATATTATTAACGCCAATTAAAAGCTGGCGAAAATACCACGGTGCAGACAGTTATAGCGTTTTCGACCCGGCCGGGTTTGCACCAACCTGGAAGTCGATTGTGTATCTTGAAATGAGGTGAAAATTACAAAAGTGAGCAAATTC